AGTCTGAGGCGCTGCAGCCTCCACACCACACAGTGAGACAGCTGCTCAGAACGCTCTCTATGGTGCTTCTGGAAAAGGTGGCGGGGCAGGTGGGCTCTTTTTATCCACCGTAGAAAGTACATGCGCGTTTGACCAGTGAGGTTGTCAGTTAAACTTTATTTTCTGGGCGTGCTTCGGTGGCGCAGTGGTTGGCCCACATGACCCATATATGGAGGCCTTAGGACCCGGGTTTGAATCTGACCTTTGGTCCTTTGCCACATGTCTCTCCCCCTCTATCAGGGTCAGCCTACTGTCCATAAAAACGAGCAACTAGTGCCTTAAAATCTAAAAAAAATTAAAAAAGTCTTTCTAATCTTTTTGATCCTGAATTTTCAGTTTTTTATATTTCAACCAAAAAAAATCTACCAATTTTCAACCAAAATCTCATCCAAGGTGCATTAAAATATCATTTAATCTCGCATCTTTAGACTGTAGCGGTTTTCAATTAGACTCTGTTCCCTAGCAACCACGTTCGAACGTCCTGCGTCATCAACACCCGCCGCCCGCCTTTTCCTTTTTAGAGCTAACCGGAAGGAAACAAAGCAGCCTGTAACGTGCCGTTAACTGTGCGGTTTGGAGCGTTTTTCTGGGGCTTCGGGAGACCCGAGCAGCGCCTGTGTATCGGCGGAGCTCCGCGGCGAGGCTGGGATTTAAGAAAAGCGGCGCAGTTCGCCGTGATGAAGTGAGGCGGACCGTGAGGATGGAGTGCAGCGCTGCTAGCAGCATGGTGGCGCACCGATCTGCAGGTAGCCGCTCCAACACATCACTGCTGCCAGCAGCTCTGCTGCACACACAGGCCTCTGGCTTTGTTCACACAATCCTGCACGGATTCACCACATTCATCCATTACATCTGTCACCTCGCTGCTAAAACTGTTTACTCTGACTTTTAAAATCAAAATCAATATGCAGTTTTGTAAAAAAATGAAAAATAAACTGTTTTTGCATGTATTTTAACCTTACTTTCTTAATGTTATGCATTTTTTACAGTCAGTATTTTGTTTTTGGGTGATTCTGTCTGTTTTTTAGCCTTTTCTGCCTCTAATCCTGTTAAACTCTTTGTCCTTCATCCCATTGATTGATCAGACTGTTTCCAGGATAAGAAAGTTTTTCTCTACAACTCATTTAATTAACATATCTCCTCAAAAAAATCCACTTTAAAACACAAAACCTTATTCCTACTCAGTGAAATGCTTTGAAAATCAACATTTCCAGTGTTATTGGAATCCAGGATTAGACCTTATTACCTTTGGAGCATTCAAAAACTATGGATATTTTTAATGGCAAAGATTGATTTCAATGTAATAATAAGAAACACCAACTTGCCCGAAAAATAACAAAAGTTCTTCTATAAGAAATTCATGAAAAACACTCAGAGGGAAAGAAACACATTTTTTTGGTGCAACATGACCTTAGAGGCATTAATGCTGATACTGGAACTTAAACCTAAATACATTCAATCTGAAAAACTCACACGAAGAAAAAAGACAATTAGAAGAAATTTATTGATACAATCACTTTGTGTTTGGCGCTCAGACCTCGGCGGGAAACATAGCGCTAAATTTTGATAGATATGCATGAACAGGAGTGGAGATAGATGAAGTTGGTCAGTCTGTAGACTGCTGGTTAGAGAGACGGTCTGCTGAGCTTAAAGGAATAGTACACCCAAAACATGATTAGCCTTCATTTTCTACTCACCCCCATGCTGAACAACACTCTGGAGTACTTTTTTGATATCTCAAATGCATCTGGAGATCTGGGAGGCTTCTTGCTGTCTGCTGACATTCAAATAATGGAGGTCTATGGCGCCCGAGACAGAAAGGTCCATAAAAGTCCACAAAAAACGTGTCAATATTCCTCCATACTGCTCTTCCAATGTATTCCAAGTGTCCTGAGTGGGTAGCGTCCATAATTTACTCGAAACGAAGTCATTTAGAATGTTTTTAGAGCATAAACAGTAGTGTATAGGATTTCCTGAAAGCGCGTTCACGACGCTACGGAAGCCGCGGCAGACCAAACCAGATGAAAGTGCGCATTCAGCGTCTGCTACAATTTGATTGGCCCGCCAGATATTGTGCTAGCATACTCGCGCTACTATGGAGCAATGCCAGACCGAACTTCCCGACCTCAAACGTTGTGGGCGGGACTAAGTTTGGGATGGCACCCAGGCTAGGAAAATCGCTCTGGGTGGAAACGAGGATTCTTCTTCTTCCTCTCAGATGAAAACACAGCAGCATGGCGGGGGTGCAATGAGTGAAATGGAGTTCTTTCTGTCAAACTGACAGACCATAGTAGCCATGTTTGCTCAGCCACGTCTTTGTCCAAATACGTCGTCGCCTTTTACTTTTAGGGCTTTCAGCAAAAAATTGCCAAAATTACCAAGACAGCGCGTTTCACTCCAGTGAGCTTCATATTGCTAATCGGACTCGTTTGGCTTCAGGATAGACGAGTCCGAGTAGCGCCATCTCACTGCGGAGCTGAGTTCCGCCTGGTTTTTAGACGTACAGTGTGAGCAGGTAGATTGCATCAGAGAGTTGGGCCGAACATACATCGTGAACTGTGAGCTCAGACTGTATGACTAAACCCTGCGGTTAGTCGTACAGTGTGAGTGTCAGTCATGTTTTTGGTCTTTGGGAGGAAGGTGGAGTACCCGGAGAGAACCCACAGGGAGAACATGCAAACTCCATGCAGAAAGAGCCGGACCGGGAATCGAACCCGGATCTTCTTGCTGTGCTTACCCACTGTGCCATTGAGCAGCCCCATTTATTATTTATACTTATATTTATGGTTCCTAAGAGTTTGATTTATGTTCTTTCTTCCCACTGTCTCCGTATGCTTCATTATGTCCTTTTAAACAGCCTGTATTGTATTAAACACTCGCCCTGACTATAGTATTATAATTAGCATTAATATGAACTGGATGTAAGTAAATTAAAATTAAAATATTGGGGAAAAAAGACACTATTTCTGTGCCTGGATTAAAGAAGTCTCTAAAACACGAATTTAACTTTTTACCTCTTAAATCTTGCCGTGTCGCAGCAATTCAGAACGCATAATATTCCAATGGTCAAATTTCTACCAGCAGGTGGAGCCATTGCAGCTCCAAGCTGACACCAAAAGTTTCAACATATTCTCATTATCAGTTCCTATGAAATCGTACGAAAAGTTATGCACAGTATTTCGTACGTTTTTGACGTTTTTCCTCGAAAAAACACATCAGTGCGCAGGCAGACAGATGAAAAAAGCAGATCCGCGGACGGACAATAATTACTTCATGATGTCTCTAACTAGGTTGCTTGCTGTTTTGTATCTTAGAGTTAGGGTTAATTGTATGTTAAATTCTACGTTATTGAATGGTGCGTAAGATGCGCATGCGCAAGGATATCTTGTCTCGAGGCAAGACGGAAAAATATGATGAAAAAAACGTAAAAAACGTACGAAATACTGTGCATAACTTTTCGTACGATTTCATACGGATGATGAGAATACACTGAAAGTTTCATACCCTACAGCTCTGGAACTGTTATAGCTAGAGGTCTGAAATTTTCTGCATTTATGGTTGACATGATGTAGAACAAATATAAAACAATGAAACCTGCCTGTTCTCAAGAATGTCTTTATTACTGCTGTTCAAAAACACCTATTATTTCAGAGAATAAAAAACAACTTTGAGTCATGTTTGAACTGATGCAGGGTGGTCTATGTTCTAGTCACCCGATTTTAATTCATATATTAGAAAACTAGAGGGTGCTTGCTTTTAAATAATGTATTGCAGATGTAATTTGGACTTACAGTTCCTAAGTTATTTGTTTTTCCATTTGGGTATGCAAAATAGGCGAGGATTACCCAAAATGAGGCGGATGTTAAGAGGTTAAGACAAAGCAATTTTTATATGTTTTCTGTTATTGAGCTGTTCTGGTACCAACAAGCAGTAATATTGTGCTTTCTGTAACCAATCAGAGAAAGAAAGCTCTGGCTCCGACGACGAGGAGTTCGTCCCGCTGTCAAAGCTCCTCATGAGGCCACAGGAAGACCAGAAGAAGTCGTTTGCTAACTCTGAAGGCTCCAACACTGGTTCTAAGAAGAGTGGAGGTGGTGAGGACAAACATTTCCGTGTTTATTAGAACCCATTCCAGACCTTTACGTTTTTAACCTCCGATCTTTTCTTGCAGTTTCTGGCGACTCCTCTGACGAGAAGCCGCAGATGAAGAAGAAGAAAAAACCTGCAGGATCGAATAAAAAGGCGTCGACTCCTCCCCCATCTGACGGCTCGGTGGAACGCCACTCAGGTGTTCCTTCGCCACACATGGACCTGATGTTAAAGCTCAGCTTCCTGAGGCCGGTTTTAATGTTCTGCTTTTCGTCTCCTCAGATCCAAACACAGGCAATGATTCTGACGACGAGCCTCTGGTGAAAAGCTCCAAGCCTTCTTCCAGGTCACCGAGGAAGAAGAAAAGCCCCGGGAGGAAGAAGAAACCTGCTGGAAGGAAGAAGGAAGGTAGGATGTTTCCTCCAGGTTCCCGGAGGCTGCTGACCGAGCCCAAAGCATCCGCCCTCCCCCACCCTGGTGCTGATTTTTGTTTTCTTCGCAGCTTCAGATGACTCCTCAGATGAAGAGCCGCCAGTAGAGAAGAAAAAACCTCCCACTTCAGCAAAGAACCAAAAAGAATCAACTCCTCCCAAATCGGACGCCTCAGAAAACGGAAACTCAGGTGTTCCTTCATCACACATGGACTCCATGTCACGGCTGAGCTTCCTGATCTGGGTTTGAATGTTCTGGTATCTCATCTGTCTCCTCAGATCCAAACACAGGTGATGATTCTGACAACGAGCCTCTGGTGAAAACCTCCAAACCTTCACCGAGGAAGAAGCAAACCCCAGAGAGGAAGAAGAAACCTGCTGGGAGGAAGAAGAAAGGTGAGATGCTCTTTCTCTCGTCTCCTTCTGCAGCTATATGCATTAATGGATGTTATTTAAAACAGAAAATAAAATAAAAAGAAATTAATCTTCAACACTTGGGAGGTTTAAGCCTCCGCCTATTGAAGTGAACAGCTGGTAAGTAGAGCCCTTTTTGGAATATGTCACTTCCACTATGGCTGAACCTCTTACCTCCGGATTCCACATCCTCCGTCAGCGCTACGCTCTGCTAGCCTCGTGAGACCATCCTGATCTCGCGAGCTTTCAAGGTTTCACTCGCAGATCAGTCTGGAGACTCTCCGTT